CCCCTTATGTATTTATACATGGAGAGATCATATTCCCCCTTATGTATTATTGGATATCATAGAGATCATATCCCCCCTTATGTATTATACATGGAGATCATATCCCCCTTATGTATTATACATGGAGATCATATCCCCCCTTATGTATTTATACATGTACATGGAGTATCATATCCCCCCTTATGTATTTATACATAGAGATCATATCCCCCCTTATGTATTAATACATGGTGATTCATATCCCCCCATATGTTTTATACATGGAGATCATAATATCCCCCTTATGTATTATACATGGAGATCATATCCCCCCTTATGTATTATACATGGAGATCATATCATGTATTATACATAGAGAATCATATCCCCCCTTATGTATTATACATGGAGATCATATCCCCCCTTATGTATTATAACATGGTGATCATATCCCCCCTTATGTATTTATACATGGAGATCATATCCCCCCTTATGTATTATACATGGAGATCATATCCCCCCTTATGTATTATACATAGAGATCATATCCCCCCTTATGTATATATACATGGTAGATCATATCCCCCTTATGTATTATACATGGAGATCATATCCCCCTTATGTATTATACATGGAGATTCACCCCCTGGTAGATAGAGTTTCATATCCCCCCTTATGTATTATACATGGAGATCATATCCCCCCTTATGTATTATACATGGAGATCATATCCCCCCTTATGTATTAAATGGAGATCATATCCCCCCTCTATGTGATACAAGAGATCATATCCTCCTTATGTATTATACATCATAATCCCCCCTTATGTATTATACATGGAGATCATATCCCCCCTTATTATGTATTATACATGGAGATCATATCATGGAGATCCCCCCCCCCTTATGTATTATACATGGAGATCATATCCCCCCTTATGTATTATACATGGAGATCATATCCATTATGTATTATACATGAGATCATATCCCCCCCTTATGTATTATACATGGAGATCATATCCCCCCTTATGTATTATACATGGAGATCATATCCCCTTATGTATTATACATGGAGAATCATATCCCCCCTTATGTATTATACATGGAGATCATATCCCCCCTTATGTATTATACATGGAGATCATATCCCCCTTATGTATTATACATGGAGATCATATCCCCCCTTATGTATTATACATGGAGATCATATCCCCCCTTATGTATTATGGGAGATCATTCCCCCTTATGTACATGGAGATCATATCCCCCTTATGTATTATACATGGAGATCATATCCCCCCTTATGTATTATACATGGTGATCATATCCCCCCTTATGTATTATACATGGTGATCATATCCCCTCTTATGTATTATACATGGAGATCATATCCCCCCATATCCCCTTATGTATTATACATGGAGATCATATCCCCCCCTTATGTATTATTCAAGAGAGTTCAATACATGGAGATCATATCCCCCCTTAATCTCCTCTTCTCAAGAGAGAATACATTCAGTTCCTCTGATCTTTCCTCATAGCTGAGCCCCTCCATGCCTCGTATCAGTTTGCTTGCCCTTCTCTGCACTTTCTTCCGTTCCCCAATGTTCTTTTTATGAATTGGTGCCCAAAAACATCTGTTGATAAAAAAAAAAGACTCCTTCCCCCCCCCCAGACCTTGTGAGATCTAAGGAGGAAAGGCTTTTTTTAACAGATGGGTATATGGCGCATATGCAAGAGGTGGCACAATGTCATTGGGCCGATGACATTTTTTTCAAAATGTCAGCATGGGGTTCCAACCTGCAGGGGACATAGACTGCTCAGAGTGGGGGGGTGGAGAAAGAAGGAGGTAGGCAAATATTGCTAATGTTATGTGTTTCAGTAGGTAGATTGTAATAGTGTAGTTACAGCAGGTATATTGCGGGGAGTGGGGAAGGTCCACTATGTCCATTCCAAAAAGATTACTGGCTTATAGACATGGCTGGACCAAGAGAGTGCTGATCAGTAAGAATTGTAAGACTGTAAGCTCCTCTGAATCAGGGACTGGTGTGTATGGTCTTTGTATCCTGTACTGTTAGTGGGTTGTTTCGGTTTAGGTTGTTTTTAGATCATTTTGGTGAATTTTGTCATTTAAGGGTATTGGGGTGAGTGAGAATGGAGAGATTAGGGTGGTTTACAGTGATTTTAGGAGTCCAGTAGCATTTAAGCTTCTCTAAAGCTAACTCCCACTCTCTCCCCCATTTTGCCTCCACCCCCCCCCCCATACTTACCTTTTTTTCCAGGTAGTTAGGGTCTGTTTGGGTGATGTCCCAGATCCTGGTCTCCCTCCAGGGATGAGCAGATCCTAAATACTACAGAAAGCTACGTGTAATGACATGGCGCTCCTGCACTGCATTCAGTCCAGGGTAGAAACTGAGCTGTGACACCCTGAGCTCTCAAAAAGTATGATAAATGACACAACTGGGCTTCGTTCAACTTAGTGACCAGGTGCGTCTGCGGGGGACAGTCCGGGAGATCAGGAGAGTATAGCAGTCGAAGCTGCTTTTTAATTTTTTGTATGCCTAGGGGCTGGATGTTATCCATTTATGTAAAAGCTGGGCTTGGGTTTTACATTTTTCTAGGGTAAAAGTTATGGTTGGCTTTCTTTTTCATGGAAAGCGGGTCAGAGCCACTGAAAATGATTTATGATTGTTTGTTCCTTCCTGTACTGCTGACAACCACATCATCTATTTATTGCATAGGTGTCACAGGAACAGGAAATTAGGAAAAACATCTTCAGAACAGGGTCACATACAGAAAAAAATACGCTTAAAAAATATTTATTTGCATCCTAAACTAAAAAAATGTCAGGAATTAGGCTTTAAAGCCATACATGGAGCTATATATTCACTAGACCAGGGGTCCTCAAACTACGGCCCGCGGGCCACATGCGGCCCGCCGAGGACATTTATCCGGCCCGCCAATAGGGGCGTATTTGCTGCGTGTACAGGGGCGGGCAGGGGGGTTCTGTGTCTTACCTGGCTCCATGTCCCAGTCCCACGATGATCCAGTCAAGGAAGTGCTGCTCCTTCAGAACTGTAGCTCAGGAAAGGCACACAGGCGGCCAATCACCTGCGAGGAGGCAGAGCCCTGCGGCCCCGCGAACATCGAGGGAGAGGCCGGAGTGAATGGAGGACAGCTGACCGCCTGGTAAGTGTGCCGTGCAGATGGTGCTGCTGCAACTAGGTATGCTGGCTGCAGCAGCACCATGCTGGAACAGGGGTCAGCAAGTGTCATTGGTGTCAGTGGGAGGAATAGTGCCCCATCATTGGTGTCACTGATACTAATGATGGGGCATTATTCCTCCCACTGACACCAACGATGGGGCACTATTCCTACCCCCCCAATGACACCAACGAATGGGGCACTATTCCTCCCCCCCACTGACACCAACGATGGGGCACTATTCCTCCCCCCACTGACACCAACGATGGGGCACTATTCCTGCCCCCAACTGACACCAATGATGGGGCACTATTCCTCCCCCCCCACTGACACCAACGATGGGGCACTATTCCTCCCCCCCACTGACACCAATGACAGGGCATTATTCTCCCCCCATTCCTCTCTCTCTCTCCCCCTCCTCTCTCTCCCCCCCCACCCTCTCTCTCCCCCCCTCTCCCCCCCTTCTCCCCCCCTCCCTCTCCCCCCTCCCTGTCCCCCCCCCTCTCCCCTCCTCCTCTCTCGCTCTCCCCCCTCCTCTCTCCCCCTCCCCTCCCTCTCTTCCCCTCTCTCTCCCCCTCCTCTCTCTCCCCCTCCCCTCTCTCTCCCCTCCTCTCTCTCTCCCCTCCTATCTCTCCCCCTCCTCCTCTCTCCCCCCTACTCTCTATCTCTCTCCCCCTCCTCTCTCTCTCGCTCCCCCCTCTCCCCCCCTCCTCTCTCTCTCCCCCCCCCTCTCCCCCCCCTCCTCTCTCTCTCCCCCCTCTCTCCCCCTCCTCCTCTCTCTCTCCCCCTCCTCTCTCGCTCCCCTCCTCTCTCTCTCCCTCCTCTCTCTCCCCCTCCTCTCTCTCTCCCCCTCCTTATCTCTCCCCCCCTCTCTCTCTTTACATTGTACACAGATCTTACCCAACAAGGTGTCCTGCATTTACCGTATATTTCGCTCCATAAGACACACTTGGGGGAATGTCTGTGCGTCTTATGGAGCGGCCGGCCCAGTATTCCCGCCGCCATTGTATGTCCGCAGTCTCTGGTCATCTCCTGTACTGTGTCCGCAGTGTCTGGTCATCTCCTGTACTGTGTCCGCATTTGTTCATAGTTTTTTTTTTTTAAACTATAGTCCGGCCCTCCAACGGTCTGAGGGACAGTGAACTGTCCCCGTTTAAAAAGTTTGAGGACCCCTGCACTAGACGATATGCACCATAGTCAGACATTGAGAGAAAATTCTGGAATCATACATCTACAATCTTCTGTTGTCTGCTAGTGTGTGCGTATTTTTCTGCTGTGGTAGATCTGTAAGCATGCGCACCAATCATAGTACCCCATTATATTTTTCCACTAATGGTCCATAGAAAGGTTCATTATGGAGACAACTTATTATGAAGAGAATATGGATTTATAGATTTCCTCTTGCTGTGTAAACCAGAGTTAAGCTTGTGAAGGAGAAGTAAATATATAGATTGGTTGGCTATTTGATAAAGGCTTTTTTCATCCTTCATTGCAGTCCATAGACTATACATAAACTGTAAGTACCCCTCCAGGACATTTTTCTGTATTTTATCACTGACAATGGCTGTTATTTACTGCAGCAAACAGAGGTGTGCAAATTGCAGATATCCATAGCGAAAAATAAAAAAAATCTTTAATTGTTATAAATGCTCTTGATTCATGAAAAATCAAATAAATCCAGTAGCTAAATATTGCTTTACATATTTGCTTTTGACATAGCTTCACAATTATGGACACTAATATAATTTTCTCTTTTTTTTGTATATACAGACAATAATTGAACACCGTGAGAAGGCTCAATGACGGTTTCCAGCCATGCAATGTTCTTGGAAGGCTGTCCTCTTACTAGCGCTGGCCTCTATTGCTATCCAGTACACAGCCATCCGAACCTTTACAACCAAATCCTTTCATATGTGTCCGGTTCCCAACCCGAGCAATTGTAGCCTGGGACAAGAACCCACAGACTCTCCTGATCGGTTGTGTGAAGATGGCCAACCTGTAACTTTTAACATCTCGAGGAAAACTCATATCCTCATCTTGGCCACCACCCGAAGTGGGTCCTCTTTTGTTGGTCAACTGTTCAATCAACATTCGGATGTTTTCTACTTGTTTGAACCACTCTATCATGTTCAGTACACGCTAATCCCCAAAATGACCCAGAGTAAAAGCCCTGCTGAAAGGAGAGTGATGTTGGGAGCTAGCAGGGACCTCTTAAGAAGCCTTTATGACTGTGACCTTTATTTCATGGAAAACTATATTAAGCCACAACCAGTCAATCACACCACAGATAGACTGTTCCGAAGGGGTGCAAGTAAAGCTCTCTGCTCTGTCCCGGTTTGTGATGCCCTGGGCCCCACTGATATTTATCTAGAAGAAGGAGACTGCATTAAGAAATGTGGGAGCCTGAATTTGACTCTGGCAATGGAGTCTTGCAAAGACCACGGTCATGTTGCTATAAAAACAGTCCGGGTTCCTGAAGTTAATGACTTAAGAGCGTTGGTAGAGGATCCCCGCCTTAATTTAAAGGTGATTCAGTTAGTGAGAGACCCACGAGGCATATTGGCTTCCCGTAGTGAGACCTTCAGAGACACTTACAGGCTATGGAGGATCTGGAGGGCTACTGGTCGCAGACCATACAATTTAGACTCAACACAGTTGACCACAGTTTGTGAGGACTTCTTGAACTCTGTGTCAACTGGGTTTAGCAGGCCACCATGGCTAAAGGGGCGCTACATGCTCTTAAGATATGAAGATCTGGCTAGAAACCCTATGAAGAAGATGGAGGAAATCTATGAATTTGTGGGTATACCACTGGATGTCAATGTGGAAAGATGGATCTTGAACAATACTCGGGGTGACCAGTCTTCTGCCAAACACAAGTATGGCACAGTAAGAAACTCTGCAGCCACAGCTGAAAGCTGGAGGCTGACCTTGTCCTATGACATTGTAGAGTTCACCCAGAATGCCTGTCGACAAGTATTAAGCCAACTTGGCTACAAAACTGTGGGTTCTTCCCAGGACTTGAGGAACCTTTCCTACAGCCTCATTGAGGACAGATCTTTTACACCTTTTTTGTAATGGTCTATTTCTCAGTAAATAAAATACACAGTGAAGGTGTTATACACAGGATGCCAAGAAAGAAGTTAGGGAATGAAATAAACGCTCTATTTTTGATAAAGCTATTCCCCTTCTTCATCTTGTTTCTTCTTGAGAAACAAGTTGCACTACAGTGGTTGGGATCTAAAAGCACATTGAAAAAAGGGGGTTATACCTCTCTAAAACTTGAAGCCGTTTATACAGAGCTGTTGCATATTAAAACACCCTGTAAAGTCCTTTCATAGATTGAAATAGTTTTAGCTGTATGGACATATTCATTGGTGGTTCAAGGAGAGCCTTAAAGGGAATATTTTGTGGTGAGACTTTTGTTTATGACCAGGTGATACATTTCTCGTCAACCATTTTCCACCTTTAAAAAAGCAAAAAAAGAAAAGTAAAAGGGCAAACAAAACCTATCCTGAGAGAAACGTGAAGGCTGCCATTGATGACATTTCCTTTTAAAAATGCTAGCTGCCTGGCTGCCTGGTAATCCAATGGCATTAACACTTTCTGAAGCACTAACCTCAGAATATTGGAAGAAGTAAGATGATCAGGAGCTCAGTCTGACTTTTTTTTTTGCCCCATACTTTTTAGTGCTTCAGAAAGCACTGGTGCACCCAGTCACCCAGCATTTGTAAAGGCAGTGACATCCCCTGGATTCCTCTCAGTACAGGTTTTCAATAAATTTAACATTGCTGGTAAATTGGACATAGTACGGCAGTGCAGCAAAGTATCTTTTTAAAACATAACCAACTTTCTGACTTGTATCATATGTTTTTCCTTGTTGAAACTCTTGCGTCTTTAACAGATGATCCTAAGCCCATATGCCAAGGCATTTCATTCAGGCAGAGCTGTCCAATCAGCAGGTCGACCTCACTCTAAACCTCTGCTGACATCACATAACCACATGAATTTTCTGCAGAAGAGGTGTATATGGCAGTTTATTTAAATAGGAAAGCAAAATGGTCAGGAAGGATGAGAATTTCTTTTACCTGTTCAGGGCAAAGCAACAGGTTCGCTTTACTGCCACCCCCCCCCCTAGTTGCACATATTGACCTCCTTCACTCCCCAATTGATCTATCCTGCTGCTGTAAGGGGCCACAGATTGAGCCCTGAATACACTTCAAGAAACAATTTGGAAGCGATACAAGACTTCATTTTCTCCTTACCCCCATGTGATAGGTGCCTGCCTGTCCAATCACCAAGCACCAGCACTGTCACATGGAAGGCAGGGGAGCAAGTCACATGCTCCCGATACCATGTTACCCAGTCTTTGCTCATGGCAGCAAAACAAAGTAGTAGGGTAGTGAAGGGAAGGTGACCCTGTCAGGTCTATACCATGATAAATTCAGCACTCCCTAGCAACCTTTTCGCAGCCCATGTCTCCTACATGTTTTTTTTCTCCCAGCACTACAGCCTTAGAAAGGATTCCAACATTCAACAATTTTTGGGATTATGGGATGCTTGTGTGTGTTCTCTGCAGATGGAAAATTCCTGTCTCTGTAGGAGACCAGAGTGCAGCAGGGAACACAATCTGACACTCCTGGAAGTGTCAAAAATTGAAGAGTTTAACAGAGGCTGCAGTGCTCGAATTGAGGAAAGGTGGGAGACACGGGCTTCCATGCAGGTAAGTATATGCTGTCGTCGATTGCAGAGGAGTGCTAGATTTAACTCTTTAAAGGCCTGACAGGGTCTCCCTAAAATTGAACTACAGGATTGTGCGGGGGCAGCCTCACTGCAAGGGTTAAGTGTCTGTTCTGTCTCTCCAATCTAAGCATTGATAGTGTGATCTCTGTAACTTACAGTTGTGATGAGATAGCGATAACTTCAACCTCAGTTGGATAACACAGTCAGTGACTCAATTGATAAGACATCTTATAGATCTTGTGAAGTTCATTCCATAAACTGAGAGAATCTTACAACAATGAACATTTGATAAGTCAAAAGATCATAATGTTTCCTGCTCCATGACATGAGGCTAGAGCTGCAATGCATTACTAGGAAGGTGGTGGGCTATTTATACAGCATTAACTAAACCAAAGGAAAAGGAGGAGCAGAAACAAAATCTAGAAAACACTTAAAGGCATATGACAGTCAATATGACAGTCATGTGAAACATGAGTGTTCATTTTTGTATATGGGAACAGAAAAGGCAGTTAGACTTACAGTATTTTTCGCTCCATAAGACACACCTGACCATAAGACGCACCTAGGTTTTAGAGGCAGAAAACAGGAAAAAAAAAATTCTGAACTAATGGACTGCAGACATAGTACAGGAGATGACCAGAGACTGCGGACAGCACAGGGATGGCCAGAGACTGCGGACAGCACAGGGATGACCAGAGACTGCGGACAGCACAGGGATGACCAGAGACTGCGGACAGTACAGGAGATGACTGCTGACCTTTGGGGAAGGGGGGGGGAGTGGGTACCTGAATTTTACAGGTACCCGCACTTCTGCGGAGTTGTTATTTGATCTTACCTGTTCCTCTATCCAGCCGCGTGCGTGCTTCCTGGCTTCTGTAGTGTGGGCGCTCGGCATGACAGCCGGGTTCCCAGTGCGCATGAGCGAGAAGCGCTGCGCTTTGTGATTGGTCCGGCGGCTTCTGGGATCTGTCATATGTCACAGGTACCACCTTACCATTCACAAAGAGCACCGCTTCTTGCGCATGCGCACTTGGGACCCGGCTGTCAAGCCCAGTGCCCACACTACAGAAGCCGGGAAGACAGCACGCCGCTGGATAGAGGAACAGGTAAGGTCAAGGAACAACTCCGCGGAAGTAAGAGTGAGTACCTGTCAAATTCAGGTACCTGCTCCCCACCTCCCCAAAGGTCAGCAGTCATCTCCATAAGGTCCTGCTGCAGAGCTGAACGGCCGGCCCGGTATTCTGACATGGCGGCGGTGGAAATACCGGACCGGCCGCTCCATATTCGCTCCATAAGACGCACTGACATTTTCCCCCCTTTTTTTGGGGGAAAAAAGTGCGTCTTATGGAGCGAAAAATACGGTACCTTTATCCCTTACTCCCCTGGCAGCCAAAGCTCTTTTCTGCTTTCCAAAACTCTGGGTTGTGGATGGGCCCTCATAAGATGCAGGACTGCTGGTCCTACATTGTATCCAACGATGATGGCAGAGAGCCTATGACCGATGGAGCAGTGTAGAGAAGCTTTTTCAGGGGGACCAGCTGGGAGGAAGCCTGCCAAAGCAAGGAGAAGAGTAAGTATAACTGCTTTTCTTCTGTTCCCTGCTAGACAAAACCAACCATTTAACCCTTGCAGTCCAGGAGGAGCCCACTGGTCAATGTTAGATTTTACCATACACTTAGCTTTAATGGCACAAGATAGGTGACAAAACCATTTACAAAACTGATACGTTTTGCTGCCCTGCTGTACAAATCAATTTAGGAAGCATGCAGCAACGAATTAAAGGCTCGTTATAGTCGGAGAAGGCGTTTACTGTTTACACAAACCAAAACACATGGTACGTTCCTCTGATATATACTCTTTTTCCAGAGCACGCTGTAGGACTCAACGGGAGGGAAATTGCACAAGTTTTATGAACCATGTCGTATTAACTTATAATTGTTTATACAGAGGTATGCATTGAAGAGCTGGATTCTTATTGTGTCCTTCATGCCCGAAGTCATTGAAGGCAAGATTGTACAGATGTCTGTGAGTTCTTGGATTTATATATATGTGTCATATTTCTCAAATAAACTGGAAATCAGCAATAAAGACGGTGTTTCCTAAATGGGTCAAAAGCGATGTATTAGTGAGAAAAATCAGATTTCTAGATTTGCTTCCCTCTGACTCCTCTTTGTAGTTATGTAAAGGAGTCTCTCTCTCACAGCTTCTCAGATTAGCCTAGGATGGGAGTTGCAATTATTATTATTTATTACAGGTACTTATATAGCATCATCAGTTTACACAGCACTTTGCATATATATTGTACATTCACATCAGTCCCTAATTCTCAAGGGGCATACAATCTAAGGTCCCTAACTCACATACTGGGGCCAATTTATACAGGACACATGTAACCTACCAGCATATCTTTGGAATGTGGGAGGAAACCCACACAGGCACAGGGAGAACATGCAAACTCCAGGTAGGTGCTGCTGGGGTTGGGATTCGAAACAACAACGTTAGTGCTGCCAGGCGGAAGTGCTAACCACTTAGCCACTGTGTTGTCCATATTATACCCAAATATAGCCTACACCTGCAGCACTGCCTGCTGGTAATATTAGGTATGAAAAAACAACTGCACAGGAGTAGTAAATGATCTATTCCCAGGGGCGAACTGACAACTCATGGGGCCCCCCGGCAATAGGGGATCATGGAGCCCCTATGTCCTTGCCCACACTCAAAAAAAGCCTATAAAAGGTACCAAGGGCATTTCATGGGGCCTCCTACTGACCCCAGGCCCTCGGGCAGTACCTGAGTGTTTGAATGGTCAGTCCGCCCCTGTCTATTCCCTGAGCATTCACTGTTTTTCATCATTAAATAACAGAATTAATAAGGCTGAAAAAGGACATGGGGGTCAATTCACTAAAGGCTACCGCATGTGATAACATTGTCACGTGACTCATTTGCATAAGTTATTGCATGCGGTAAAAAAAAATGTCCAATTCACAAAAAAAAAACCAAAAAAATGTATCTGCGGTATTTAACACAAAATTTGCCCGTAAATAGTGCAAAAAAAAAAAAAAATGCGGTAAGCTGTTAAGTCAAATTCAAAAATGGAAGAGAAAGTAAAAAAAGATGCAATTTTTATCACCAGGGTTTTGATGGCGGTATCATATGTCGTATTTTTTTCAGATGCAGCTTGGCGGTCCCCCCCCCCAATCCATACCACGACGTTGGATTTTAAGGGAAACCCCACACCAAAAAAAAAAAGAAGAAAGAAATGAACCTTAGGTCTGGTTTGGGTTTTAAGGAGAACTCCACGCCAAAATTGAAAAAATTTGCTGCCGTGCGATAAA